TGTGGTTTCGACTAAAAAACAGAATTCCCCAAAAACCCTTTGGAGAGGAAAGCTGTCGTTTCACAAGCAGCCTCTCCTGTGTAAAGTGACGTCTCCTGAGGTTATGCATAAAAAAAATACCACAAAGTAAGAATTAATCAAACAATCAAACAGTGTTTTAATCTCTAAGTACTCTAAGGCAGACATTTAACTTTCAGTATATATTTAGGTGTAAAATGAAACCTAAACGTTTACACTAAATTGTATTGTGTACAGTGTAAGGCTGAAATGTCAATCCTTACCCAGGAAAAGTCAAATCGGTAGAGAAACTGAATTTCTCTACCGAGATCATGTTCTAAGCTGTTCTATTCAACTTAGAACATGATCAAACTGTGTCCCTTGGTTCATGTCGAAATGCCTAGAACACCATCTTCTCTCTCTCTTGATGTTCATCACGGTTCCGGCATCCCGCTGTCTCCGCTGTCTTCCAGGAAAGGTGCTTCAGCTTTTCCTGTGTTGCATCCGTGGATTGGGCCTGTTCTCCCGCGGAGCTCAGAACCTTCCTTTTCTGATGGGGGCGTAAGCCTTTCTTTTCTGTTGATTTTCAGTGGGATAGTCCTGGTCAAAGTAGATTCTCACTCCGTTCAGAAAGACCTTTCTTTTTCCAAGCAGAGCAGAGCACCAGTTCTTTAATTCTGTACTTCAGAAAGTAAATCACTATTGACTGGGGGCTGGCATTCGGCGGTGGCTTCGGGCTGAGAGCTCTATGACATCTTTGCATTCCCAGCTCAGTATCACTTAGGGACAACTCCGATTTAATAAATGTTTCCAAGAACTCCCATAGGTTGTTCCCTTCTGTGTGTTCTGGGATTCCATAAACACGAATGTTGTTTCTTCGTGATCGGGCTTCCAGGTCTGTCAGTTTAGCTTGTATATTTTCTTGTGCTTGAATAGCTTGAAGCAGAACCTCGTTAGCTACGGTAGCCCGTTCCTCCACCTCCACCACCCTCCCTTCTGCCCCATCCACTCTACTTATTGTGTCCTTTATGTCTCTGACAATTTCGTTTAATATGTTATCAATATCTTTTATAAAACACGTAAGTTCCGTGGAGAAGGCATCTTTGAAATTTTTCAGGTCTGTTTTCATGTCCAACCTGGTAGCTTTTAGCTCTTCGTGGATAGCACAGATGCTAGCTTGCAGGCCATCCATACCCTCGTCGCTGTCATCATCTGTGTCTTGCCTCTCTGTTTACGACCAGTTTTCCCCTCCATTAGTGTGAAATGCTGTCAGAGTAATAATTCGAGTAAATTTGGGGATTTTTGGTTAGTGAGTCTGGGAGCTCTCACCTTACACGTACCGGAAACCCCCTGGGTACACCCTTCTAAATGTACAATTGAGGTTTCCAGTTCAAAATAAACCACAATTTCAAAGACAAAAGTCCAAATGGCAACATTCATTTGACATTGCATAGACCTTGTTAGCTAGTTGCAACAAAACCTTAATTTGGAGGAACAGGTCCAACTTGCCCACACCAAATCCACTTCCTGTGTGTGGAGATGTCTGTAAAACTCCTCAAAGTAAAATGTCCAAAGGTCCAGGGGAATGTGTGTGTGTGTGTGTGTGTGTGTGTGTGTGTGTGTGTGTGTGTGTGTGTGTGTGTGTGGGGCAGT